ATAATAATAATAATAATAATAATAATAATAATAATAATAATAATAATAATAATAATAATAATGAACAGTAATAAGTAATAATAATGCGGAAACAGGAATAACGGTAACAGTAGTAATAGGAATAATGCTCAAGACAATAAATGAAAACAATATCTGAACAAGAACCAAAAACTGACCGACTGCTTCGGAGCATTGCCGTTCCTGTGTCGCGTTCGATTACCGGTGTAATGGGCTTTCTCCTGGCCAGGTCGATCCACTACGGTCACACGTTTAGTATGTTCGATTCCACTCGATAATAACGCACATGGCGTCCTCTTCAAGGAACGTCCATCTTGTGTTTTCTTTAAAATTCATCTATTTACATGTACATACATGAAATATATTAAATATAAACAAATAAATATACACCTCAATAAGATTCGCTGGCTGCATACATGTAAGAACAAGATTCACATTCTCATGAGCAGATTCATCTGCAGGATGATGGTGATGATGACGAAAATGTGCATGACTGTGTTGCTGTTTCTTAAGGGTGGTTGGAGTTTGACTGGAGGGAGACAACGATGAATCACTGGTGGCATGAGGAGCGATGTTATCGTTAAGCATATTCATTTGACCTCTAGTGCAAATACTAGTATTTGTTGACATTGCGACAACATTCTGGTGTGAAGTGTATAATGCACATTGATCGCATTGATGCTGCATTGCTCCCGCAGCAGCAGCTGTTTTCTGTTCAGGATCGCCACAACAGTGATGATGGAGAGAAAAAGGAAAAGGATGATGTGCGGGTTGTACTAAAGCATGACCAGTGGCATGGCTATGATGTGCTGTGCCCGGCAGTGAAAATCGTCTTCGCGCCGAATCCCACGCTGATTTGGCTGCAAAAATTCGCCGTCTTGGTGTACTACTAGCACTGCTCGTAGCAGTGTCACTAGCCCTCCCCACAACACCGCCAGTACAAGTTGATGATTCGGCCACGGTACTGCCTGCAGCACCACGGTCACCGTTGCTGCAGTGTTGCAACGTTTGATGCGACGATGCTTCGTAATCACAGTTTTGATTATTCGAAGAAGACGACGACGATGTTTCTTGGGACGATGAAAAACGTCTGATCCATTCAATCGCAGACATATTCAGTGCAATTAACACTTCTCATTAAGCAATAATCATCAGCCTTTCTTCCCTTCCTTAACTTATTATTATCATTATCATCAATAAAAAACAACGCCCGCTTCATAAACACCTCTCATCACAATCGAATTCGTTTTACTCGAACGTCGTCACAAATACCTAATCAGTCAAACTAAATTGCAAATGCGATTAATGATTTTATTATTATTATGATTATTTAAGACGATCTCACCTCAGTTGTGAATAAGTCAGCTTATATGGTTCATATGGAAATGTAGTCGTAGAATTTAGATCATAATGAATATTCATTCATTTTCATGATAGACGCATACTTTTTTAAATTTAAAATTATTAATCACCAATCCAACGACCATTTTCAACAATCTTCAAAGTAAATCTCCAACTATCGAAACGAGTCCGTGATACCCTCCTTGCTTACTGCACTGACAGACGACAGTAGGGCAACGAAGCAAAATAAACAAAATGGATCATCAACAAATCGTAAATGAATTCGTAGGGAACACATAAGCAGGCGAGAAACTTTCTTCCTCTCTCTCCCCAACACCCCCCCCCCCCCCTCCCAATCATGCCTCATGCCAATGAGAACAATAAATAAATCTCAACGGATTTGACCAGTTAATGGTTTGAGCTACTCAATCAATAGAGTTGGACTGATTGACATAATAAGATGCTCAATTGAGATCATTCGATGAGATGGAATTGATGCAACGAAACAAAGTGATGCATGCCATCGATCAGATCAAATGAACAAGTACTATAAAGTGATAAAATACAACAAAATAGAGCATATGATAGTTAAGAAAAGAGGTGCTGATATAGCTGTTATCTTTCCATGAAATATTCACGATCCGGACACACAAAAGACACACATGTTGGCAACTGCACTCAGTCTTTATGATCATCTTGTGTGGTATCATCATATTATGAATATTTTAAACTTTATATCATTTACACAACTTTTAACTGTCTTTATTTATCATCATTCATATTTTACATGCCTTTAGATTTTGTGTTATGTTCACGTAACGGATATTAATGTATATGCAAACATTCGGTATAAAATACCTAAATATCCTACGACTAAATTTTAATTACAATGATTAAGGAAATACGACGCGAAGAATGACAATAGTCATCAAGTAATGTATTTATTTCATCCTATTCGTTATGACCACGCACTCAGCATTTCCAGTCATCAGTCTTCCTCTCAATAGCACAGAGCGAATTCACGTATTTCTACTGGATCAAAAAAATCAAAATAACAACATACTATAATCATAATAATGATATCATAAAATAAGAATAAAAAAGACAAAAATATTAACGATAACAATGGTAATACTGATAATAATAATAATAATGCGCTTATTTCTATTTCTACTACTAATAATAATAATAATAATAATAATAATATTAATGAAATAATGTCGTAAAAATTGATAACAAAACTGATATAAAAGAGCTGTGTCCCATCTCGTGCCCAAAGGCAATTCTAAATCTAACTATGATTTTATGGTAGCTGAAGGAAGATGACTGACTGGCTGCTTGGCTGCTTTCTACTCGGCAGTACTTCATTTCGTTTCTTCGCTTTCATTGTCAGCCAAATGAATGTAAATCGATTTTTGTTTCTTTACAACAACACACAAAACTCTTTTCAATACCCAATTGGCTAACACTGCTACCAACTAGAATAACTACACACATTAAGCAGCCTGCAGCCAACGCAACCCAAACAGACCACACTTTTTTGCGCTTTTTTTCCCGGNGGGGGAGGAGGAGGAACGGAGGAGAGAGTTTTGAAAAGGATGGAATTAATGAAGTTCGGCGAGCGAAAGGGGATGATGAGAACTATAAAGAGTGCAAAATATGATTTGAATAATATTTTAATATTTTACTTTAAATTATTAAATATTTTTGTTAAGTAATCTTACAATTAGTTAAATGAACACTTTTGGTTGTTTTGTTATGTATATGAATAATCTAGTTTGCTTCCAATAAAACATCATAAAAACAAGCAATTAGAAAGCAACATGTGGATATTAAATAAATTCTCAAAAATATGAGAAGATAGCTACTGGTATTGATGGTTTATTTTTATGAAGTAATGGATTCCAATTGAATGACTGGACTAATTAATTCATTAATTCCAAAAATGGACAACCAGTTACATAAGAGTTTCTTTGAAGAATAAAATTAAAACATTTCATTAATATGCTTCAATATCATACGAGACTTGCAATGGCAACAAAGACAACGGAAAAGATCACTTGGAAGACAGACTCCAAAAATATGGAAGGACATTTGAAAAGATCCGCCAAACGAAAGCAGCATCCAGCAGCGAATGCAAGGCCTTCTGGCCAAACAATTGACAGCGTGGCCAATCCACAAAATCACACGACAAATCACCCGACCTCACACAACATTACATAATTGTACAAAATGAAATTTTTAACCGTGCAAAATCCATAAAAGAGTGCAATATTTTAACTAAAATTCTGTCTTTTTGATCGATTTTTTGATTGCTTCTGATCTGATTATAATCCTGGCAGCCAAGTTATAGTTTGCTCAAACTTACACAATAACAACAATAATAATAATGACAATAATAACAATAATAATAACATAATAATGATAACAACAACAGTAATAATAATAATAGTAATAATAATAGGAATAATAATAAGAATAATAATAGTAATAATAATAGTAATAGTAATAATAATAATAATAATAATAATAATAATAACAATAGTAACAATATTAGTACTAACAACGGAAATCCATAAAAAATTTGCATAGAATAATGCATTGTACACTTATTTCATATGAAACAGTGCCGAAACGCGTATTTATTTGCATGAAATAGCTGAACAAAAATGTGTGCTTCAAGAAGACAACAGCAAGCAATGCGATAGATGTATCAGCGATATATATCTGCAGCAGTCGAATTCTTTCGTTCTTATCAACACAATATTTGTGCATGTTCACGTCTCAGTTATCAATGTTGAAACGAATTAATTTGATGTAACAAATATTCATCAACAGACAAGAATAAATAACAAAGTGATTATTCATTTATGAACATTAAACTTTTTCATCTTATGCAAACTTAAGTAAAATTTAAGCTTGCTTCTAGATAGAATGTTTTTTGCATGAACTTCTTATTATGCTTTATCCGTATGAATGCAATGAATAAGTTGTGATATGATATATACCTAAATGAAGTGGGTGATAAAACAAGAAAAGCATCTTAACAGCCAACATTTTCATTTCTCTAACAGTGAGAAAGTGATCACATACACAACTGAAACACTACAGACATTTGTTGTTCCGAATTATTATAACGAGTGCATGGTGCTTTTGTAGAAAAAACAAGTGATAAACAACACTAAGTAAATAAAATAATATTCACCTCATTTGGATTGTTTATAATCGATGAGACTGCGTATTCTAACGTTTTTGTTGTCGTCATATCAAAACCAGCAGCCATTCGTCCTTTAATTTTATAATCAAAATAATAACAGCACTCACAGAACTATCATTATTATTGTAACGATATTATTGGTGCATCTTGATTGACATAATTAATCCTATTGAATCTTCAAAAAACAACTCATCAAACGAATTAATGAATATAAATAGCATCAGTCAAGAACAATAATAATAATAACAATACCTTGCATAAATTTATTTTAATGCGCCGAAATATGTTCAAGATAAGAGATGAACGAATAGTTGCAGCGAAATGGACAGAATTAATAACACGTGAAGTAAGCAATTATGAATGATTAAATATACTGGTATGTTGCACACATTCGAATAATTTCAAAATTTAACGATCATCCCTTCAACGTGCCATAATTAACTGAAAATGCGTGCATATGAAACATAGTTACATCACAATTTTCGTTGCATCTAATTTTAATTTTTTCCACATTTAATTAATCACTTAAATTTTTTTAAACAGATATCCATATCGCCGAAGCAGAAATTAAAAAATAATTGGAGCCATTTAAAACGTTGTAATAACTATGTATGAGACCGATTTTAAAAAGTGTGATATTATGAATGACTGTGATGTACTAATCAGAAATAATACTTTTAACAATATAAATACTAATATTGATAATATTAACGACAACAACAATAATGATAGTGATAAGATCAATAATAAATAAGAATAATAATACAATTACAATCTCATTTATAATTCAAATGACTTTCACACCTAATTGTAAGACACTACTAACGCCACCGATTAATTCAGTCAGTTTCAGCTCAAAAATTGAACCAGTGAAGTGAACTGCATTTTATAGTCTGTTCGCCACATGCACCATTCAGATAACTTCTCGTCTCAAAAAGTTTTGAAAGGCGATTTCAATAGACTAATTCAACGGATCTATTAACCCTCAAATCTTTACCATTTCATCATCATTAGTGGCGCTCTTCCAACTCATAGTGTCACTTTTGCAAACAGTCCACTTTGCAGGTAATTCATGAATACATTGAAAACATTATACATTACACGTTCATTATTCGATAGTTTCAAACCTATCCCAACATCTTTAGTGTTCATTACACGTCGTTGTAGTTATCAAACTCTTTGTTTAGATTGGTCTTTTTTCAAAATAAATGAGCGTATTGTATTTTACTTATCACGTTTTGTTTTATAAAGGTTTCTGCACTATATTTACACTATCATTGAAATCATTTTGTTTCGATGCTATTCAATCCTAATTGAAATAGTGAAATGTTTAGGTAAAGACAAGCAATTCCATGGCAAATCATCTTTATTTCTGCTATTTAACATGGAGATGAGAATGTCTAGTTCATAAGTGCAGACTGCTGAATATGAAGAATGGAGAATGACAACCAAATCTACCTGAAGACGATCATCTCGTTCCTAACCGTTGTTGTATTGACAAGAAAATTTCGTTAACAAATGCTGTCGAATTTTCGTTTTGTTTCTGCTTGGTCAA